AGACCCAAAGCATTAATAAGAATAACCGAGGATGCTTCCTGATCATACAATGTTACCTCGGTGTCCCCATTTTTACCCTCTCTGCTTCCAACACCTATGTAACCATTCCCTGTATTAAATTCCACTGTTTGAAATACCCAATGTGTTCCTGAGTGGACAGTGACATGGAGAGCTGGCTCTGCCTTATCCGAATAAGGAACACAGACCACATTCTCATTTCCCACATTCATGACCCAGTGCCCTTTGTCAGAACATAAAATTTCAATCAGCTCTCTAGAATTTGGCTCTGGTACGCTGTTGATTATGTGAAAAAATGGGTATAGATAAATCTGAGGAGTCTCTGGAAATGTCAGCTCCCCTGGCTGAAGTGGATCTGTGGCTCAGTGACAGGAAGGAGAAAATGCTCCTCGCAGATAGGATCGTTCCCCACTGTCCCAGTTAGTGCCCACTAATGGCTGAGACTGGAAAAGATCCCCTCGGGGACAGAGGGAGTGAAGGGGTTTTCTGGATGTGTAACCCGTTGTGGCCCTGGGATGACCATATGTCTAGAGTATGTGTTTTGAGTGACTGTGTCCATGTGTGTCTGAGTGGATGTGCAACGTCCACCAGCACAGATGTGAGCGGACACCTGCAGGGTGTCACTGAGCTCCTTGTTGGTCCCACCTGGATGAACTAGAGCTTATTTGACTAAGTGTCCCTAATTGGAGAAGCCACATCAACCAATGACCATCCTCCAGTGATCACAGCCAGGGTGAAAATTGCCATCACTTGCCCAGATTTTGGGGTTTTCTGCCACAGAGAAACCATGAGACAAACAGAAAGGAAAGTGTGTAGACTAAGCTGCAGCTTCCCTGACCAGGTTCCGCTATTCCTGGGTAAATCCAGCAAGGGGTGAACTCGTGTCACATGGAGGGTGCCCCAGCCTTGCTGTCACTCATGTGGGGCTGCCCTTTGTAGGGGTTCGGGGACTGGAGCCCAGGGAAATGCCTTCTGAGAGATGTGGAAGACGAGGGTTTGTCCAGGGAGGTTTGTACGTGCATGAGTGTATTGTGTGTGCACTCACTTTGTGTGCGTGTGTGAGGTGTTTTCTGTTTCTGTGCAGGTGGACACATGTGCCCCATGAGCAAGCACATTCAGTGTGAGCACCACGCACAACCCAGGAGACCTGGGAGTTTGCTGTTTCCCCTTCCCTCTTTTCAGACTGACCCCAGGGCCAGACCATGTTCCTCCTGCCCACTGCGTCCGTGGCCACATGACACAAGGATTCCTTCCTCAGATTCCCTCTCCAGCCCCGGCACACCCATCCCTAGGAGCTGACACCCAGAGAGACAAAAATTAATGGGAACGTACTGCTGCTCTCCCACAACCACCGCCAGAAGGAGCTTCTCTCCCTCTCTCCATCAGGTAACTGCAATTTCCAGATGTTGGGCAGTAGGGGAAAGGCTGTAAATTGGAGGGGACCCTGCACTCCCAAAGGAAAATCCTGTCGGTGGGGTGTGTTACAGTGTTTTAGAGAGAAAGGCTCAATGTCCCTATCGGAATATTTTTGGCTCCAAGGTATAGAAGTTAATTAGAAGTTCATTAAATGATCCGATTTTGCGTTCTACATACCATTATCCACTGAAAGGAACCAGACTCTTTGGAGAAATGACTGATTCCCGAGTAGGGACAGGGAAAGTACAAGACAAACCCGGATTATACTGCTATGCCAGAAAGTCAATGTTATAGGTTGAATTTTGTCCCCCCCCCCCCAATTCAGATGTTGAGGTCCTAACCCTTTGTGCCACAGAATATGACTGTATTTGCAGATAGGGTCTCTAAGAGGTAAATAAGTTAAATGAGGTCACATGGATGGGTGCTAATCAAACTGGTGTTCTTATAGAAGAAAAGATTAGGACAAACACAGAAGGCCGACCATATGAAGACATAGGAGAAAGGTGGCCATCTACAAGCCAAGGAGAGAGGCCTCAGAAGAAGCCAAACCTGCTGACACCTTGATCTTGGATTTCTAGCCTCCAGAATCATGAGAAGATAAATTTCTCTTGTTTAAGTCTGTGGTATTTGTTACAGCAGCCCTAGCAAACTAATACACTCTATCTTCAAAATTTATGAAAAATCGAATCACTTCTAGCTGTTCTGTTGTCTGGAAGACTACAAACTGCTCTTCTGCCTCCACCCTCGACTCCACAGACTATACTCAACACGGGAGCCAGACGTAGCCTGTGAAAACTGCATGAGTCAGAGCACGTCACCGCTGTGCCCCAACCCTCCCCTGGCTCCCATCTAATTCAGAGTAAACATCAACACGGGGACAACAGCCTGCAGCCCATGTACATCGGGCTCTTGTTACCTCTCGGCTGTCACCTCCTATGACCTGCTCCCTGGCTCCAGATACCCTGGCCGACACCTGCAGGCTCAGGGCCTCTGCAATGGCTGCTTCCCTGCCTGGGACACTCTCTCTATGGGTATGTGAAGGGCTCCCTCCCACCTCCTTGTGTTCATGACTCAAAGGTCATCTCCTCAGTGAGGCCGTCCCCAACCACACTATCTGAAATCTCACCTCCCCATCATCCCTATTCCCCTTCCTTCTCCATTTTTCTCAGCATTTGGCCATCTCACATCATATCTATCTTACTAACTTACTAAATCTATCTCCCCAACAGGAAGGTGAGAACCACAATGGCACCGATTTTTATCAGTCTTCTTCACTGATGGATCCCCAAGTGCCCACAACGGTGCTTGGGACACAGTAGATGCTCAGTCGATACTTGTTGATTAAAGGTCCAAGGTGAGGTCCTACCGTGTGCTGGGTATTGCATGAGATCGTCATCTCAGAGTTAGACCCTCGACTGCCACTGGCACTTGCTCACCTAGGGAGCAATGCACCCTCGATGACTGGCACTACCTCTGCCCTCAGATGCCTCGTCCTCCCTGCTCTTCTGGTAGACACGGGAGGTTATGTTGTGACATGAGGGAGGACCCTAGAAATATCTGTGGGGATAAATCCCAGAGCCAGCTGAATATTTCTCAGGGAGGATCGATGCCACAAACTGCTCAAGAGCTGAGCCAACCTGACAGCAGAGCCGCTGAGGAGGAAAGAAGGCTGGAAGGTGAGGCAAGAGTCACATCCCAGATGTGGAAGCAGGAGAGGAGCAGCTGAGGGGAGAGGCACAGAGCTCAGCGGCAGAATCCTCCTGACGGCTTCTATCCTGAAGACGGGCCTCGGTAACTGAAGCCCAGTGACAGAGGTGGCTCCAGCTGGGCCAGCAATGACCCAAGTCGCCACCTTCTGGAGATCCAGGTCCACAGGCTCACTGCCTCTCTGCTGACAAGGATGAAGCCCCCACTTTAAAGAGGAGACAACTGAGACCAGGATAGGTGAGGCGACCACCCAAAGTGACACTACTTGAAAGAGACAAGGCCTGGCTGCTTTTTTATTACTTTTTCCGTTTTGAACATGACTTTAATGCAAGGAGGTGAACAGTCAGTGAATCTTTTACTTCTTTTACACATAAAGCTCTTTTGGAAACAGAACGGGCAGTGCCAGGCCTGGGGACAAGAACACAGGAGCCAAGGGACTTTGGACCACTGTGTCTGGAGCTCTGTCTGGTCAAAGGAACCTGGGGCGGGGGCTGATGCTGGGAGAGGCCGTTCCCTTCCTGAGTGCCCTGGGCGCAAGCTCTTTCTGATGGAGGCTCTGCCGACATCCACAAGCCTGCTGCATACTCTTCCAGTCTCCAGTGAGTCAACCGCCCCCACTTTCATGCCAGATCCTATAGGGAATCAGGTGATTATTGAGAACTGGTTCCAGCCTCATTGTAATGTCATAATAAAGCTGTTTGTTATGGTGGATGGAAGTAGGTGAGTTCATTTTATGTGCTGGTTGCCTAGTCATTAGCCACCCCCCTCCATACACATCACTGTCACTCACCTTCTCCCAGGCTCACAAAGCCCTGCTGTTCACAAGGCAGCAGGAGCCCCTCCACAGATCCAACCGAGGCACCACGAGTGGTCTGAGCTGCCAGAAAGTCCCTTCCCCCTTGCCCATGATTGGTTTTGGAGTAGAAATGTGACCCAGATCTGGACAGTGAAAGGTGGGAGCAAGACAGCCAGGGGACTATGGAAAAGATTTTACTCCCTGAAAAAAAGGGACAGCTGATGAGAAACATCTCTCCCTACTGCTTTTGGATATTGCCAGGTGAAACTGTGCCACTTGAGGCTGCTGCAGCCATCGTGGACTGTGCAGGGTGTGACCACAGACACAGGTCCAGTGTGATGGAAAAGCCTGGGCCCTCAGTGACCTTTGAGCTGCTGAACTGAACCTGAGTCACCCGCCTCCTGGCTTCCTATTACACAGACAGTGAACGTCCAGGCTGTTGAAACCCCTCTTCTGTTTCTTGCAGCCACATGCATCCAGTGGGGACAATGAGCTCCTGGGCCCCACATGGTCCAAGGCACACACCATCTGAAGGCTTTACCCATGGAACACAGCACCCATCTCGCCTGCCTTTTGGCTCCTGACCCAATATTTTCTGGAGTAGTTACCATACAATGGCCTATGGGGTCCACGGGGGATTGACACTTCCGTGCCGCTAAATGCCACCCCTTCGTGCAGCAGGAACACTTGCCCAGGGTTTCTGTTGGAAGAGACCTGGGGTCTCTCAAGCAGGGGCAGATTATCAGGCTCCCCTCCTGATACCAACCCTAATATCAGTTTCCCTACATTAAACCCAGCATATATGGGGTTAAAACCAAAGCACTCATTCCCTGCTTACTCCCTGGCTTCCTGGTTCCAGAATCCACTGTCCTCCATGGAGACAGTCACAGCCAAGGACAAGCACCTGGATTCGCTATCTCCTTTCTGCAAGGAGCTACAGGCTGGTGGGAAAGCTGCTGACCAGCAAGGCCATATACTCCCCCTCCCCTACCTAAAACCCCCAGTAAAAACCTTTCCTTTTAGCTTTTTGAGGAGTTTGGGATTTCAGCGTTAGCTGCTCTTTCTCCTTGCTCAGCGCTGTGCAATAGTAAAATTCCTGCTTTCTTCCACTACAACCGGTGTCAGAGATTGGCTTGCTGTGCAATGGGTGAGCAGACTCATTCAGGTTCGATATCATCCTGCTCTGACTGCTTCCAGGTGCCTTTAAAGAACCAGTGATTCCATGTTTTCATATAAGTAATCTTTGGCCTTTCCCTTTAGAGCAAATACTTAGTGTCTGTTTAAAAATGTTTAGTGTGGAGTTGTTTTTAAAGAGTGTCAGAAGGAAAGCGAAAGTGAAAGTCTCGACTTTGGTATAAAAGCTGATGCAGGAGCAGCAGAACCCCAGAGCCCCGGGACACCATGGCTCAGGTAAGTCCCTGGGACATTTCCATCCATGGCTCTACTGCCGGGGGGCCACTCTGCTGCTGCAAAGAGCTCAGTCTGGGTTCCTGGCCTTGGGCAGAGTTAACTCCAGAGCTCGGAAATGCTTTAGAAGGCTTTTGTGCAAAATTGTATTTGTGATTTAAAAGTCCCTTTTCCTGTGGACTGAGAAGCCTTCTAGCACTGTAAGCCTCTCCTCTGTGTCTGGCACAGTGTGTGTGGGCAGCTGGGAGCCCTGTGTAGGAGGAGCTGTGGGTGTCTGGGAGCTGTGGCTGCCTGAGTTGGGGGGTGTTGGCCATAAGGGGACCTTGGAACTGGGAAGTGAGTGAACCTCCCACCTTGTCTGCTCAGCTGCTGGCTGGAGTGTGGGGCCTTCTCAGCTCCAGTCCTTTCTCTCGCCTCTTTCCTCCATGGAATTTGTCCTCCCTTGTTAACTGCATTCTAATTTTAGCATGTCGAGTCTGAAACCTCCCTTCTTATCAGCCCTTATGTCCAGATTGAGGAAAATTCCAGGGAGGGGCAGGCAGAGCTCAGTGGTGTGCAGCTGAAAAGGAACCAGCTGACTCAGGCTATTATTAGAAACGGGGGAAATCTTGGAGGTCACACTGAACACTCTAGAGGGCAGACCACCCTGGGTATAACCGGGCTCTGAGGAAGGGCTTTCTTGCTGCCAGAACAGAATCAGGGCTCTGTTGCCTGGGAGCCCGTCTCCCTACAGGCAGGGCCCAAGCTCACAGTTCATCTCCCACCAGCTGCTGTGGACGGAGCCCGGGCCTTGCCTTAGCCAGTTAGCTTCAGAGTGAAAAATCTCTTTGTGATTCCAAACTGAAGACGGTCTCTGGGCCTGTCCCGCCTGGCTGAGATGGAGGAGGTGCTGGGGGGGAGACCTGTCCCGGTGACCCTCCAGGCCTCTTCCACATACATTTCCTTGGCCCCCATTCCAAGCCAGACCCATCGCTGGATCCCAGAGATGCAGGGAGGCGGGAAATGACAAGTATACAGGATCCGGCTTGAATGGAGCTCAAAGCCTAGAGGGTGTGCAGACAGGCGCACAGTCCATACAGTGAGGGGTGGAGGTGCCGGGGGGCCTGGGGACCCAGAGAGCGGCCGCCAAGCCAGGCTGGGGTTTTCTGGGTAGTTTCCCAGAAGACTGATGTCTGATGGGAGGAGAGACGTTCAGTGCAGGGGCGGGTGGGTGGGGGTGGGGGAGGTGTTTGGGGACAGAAATACCTCATTTGCAGAGCATCAGAGACAAGAGCAAGCTCTGGGGTGAGGGACAGGAAGTGACTCAGTCAGCCTGGGGGGAGCACAGATCACAGGGAGGGTGAGGAGGGATGAGGGGGCGCTGGTCATGAAGGGGCTGGGAGCTGCCCAAAGTCGTGCCCTGTGCCCTGGGGCCAGTGGAAAGTCGTGGCCAGATGGGCCCTCTGGGAGGGCCACAGTGGGGTCCTGGGGGAGACCGGATGTGGAGTGGGCAGGGAGGGACAAGGGGGGAGAGAGGCCAGTCTGCATTAACTGTGGGGGGAGTTCCCCTGAATTCCCTAGAGTTCCCAGTACCTAGAATCTGGGCCAATTTCCAGAGTTCCCCAAGAGCCAGGGACAGGGCTGCACTGAACCCACGTCAGTGGGTGGAAGGTGGACGAGGAAGTGAGTTCAGGAGAAACCTCCCGGGTCAGCGTTGGTTGTTGGTATTGGCGTGAGGAAGACATCAAGGTCAGCTGACCCCTGGTCTCAGATGGGGCAGCCTGCAATGAGGGATGCAGGAGGTTTGTCATTCCCTGAGATCAGGCACAGAGAGGGAGAGAACCTAAAAAATTCTCCAGTCACGAAGCTGCAGTGCCCTGGGCCAGGACAGTGAGGAGGGGAAGGGCTGTGGAAGGGGAGGAAGGCAGGGATGAGTCAGACCCGGGGGAGACGCGGCGGAGAAGACCCAGCTCGGCTGCTTCCCAGCTGACTGTTCTCACACAAGTCCCTTCACCTCTCTGATCCTCAGTTTCCCTTGGAGGAGTGGTGGATGTTGCAGTTACTGTAGGAGAAGGGCCCACAGAGGCCGGCTGTGTGCGTGCAGCAGCCCCCTCAGTGCTGGAAGCTGGGTGGCCCCTCAGGGTCCCCCCAAAGGCTCAGGTCCCGTTAGGATGATGTCAGTTGGTGTCTCTCAGGTGGGTATCTCCAATGATGGGTGTCCTGAGGATGAAGGAAACGGAGTCTGAGGAGAAGGAGGTGCCTGGTGCAGCCATGCACAGCCAGGGACAGGAGGCACGATGAGGACTTGAGGGTCCATCTGGGAAGGATAGGGAAACTGAGGACTCACCTGCCCGACTTTGCTGGGGATGTGCTTGGGGCTGCCACATGCAGACTGTCATGTCAACACTCTCAGGAGCACAGTTACAATGTACCTGCATGTACATGTCTGCATCCTCAGTATGCTAACATGCACACATAACACACACATACACCACACACATACACACAACAAACCTACATATAGGCATTACATGCACATATATAAGTGTGTGTGCACACACACACACATTGCACAAGACACACATGCATAATATACACACACTGGACAGATCCCCACTCTCCCACTTCACAAGGTCATTTTTTCCAGGCTTCCAGTTCCTGGTTGTGGGGGAACCTCTAAAATTGACAGCAGGCTGAGGACCTCAGAGGGACCAGGAGCTCCTCCCGCCACCCTAGGCTCTCACCAGGTGATGAATAACAGCAAGAACGTCCCTGGTCTGAGCTGCAGCTCACCAGTGAGGAATCTGCTGTTGCCTAGATGCCTGTCAACACCATCTCGGGTTTTTCTGTTGCAGTTTTGTGTGGAACCTGAACCTGGAGACCTGATTGAGATTTTCCGCATTGGCTACGAGCACTGGGCCATCTACGTGGGAGGTGGTGATGTGATCCATCTAGCTCCTCCAAGTAAGGACTGTTGAAAATATAACTTTCAAAATATTTGTTAATGTCACGAGATCAATGGGAAGAAAGAGCTGAGCAGGGGAACCCTGAGTTGGATTTTCCCTGAGCAGCACTTGAGCAGACCCCACATCCATGTCCTGTTGAGTCATCACAGGGGGTCCCATAGGTCCTGACAGAAGCAGGAAAAGAGGTTCGTGGACTCATCCAGTGAAGCTGGGGGCCTTCAGCCTTCGGATCTGTCCAGCTGACCAGTTTTCTTTGGTATGCAGACTCTCATATGACTTTAACCAGCAAAGTTTCTGAAGGTCCATGGTCTTAAAGTTTCTCTTAAAGAAACTTTAAGGTCTATGGTCTTAAAGAAAGAGGCATGTTTCTCAGTGCTGTGTCATTTGTACTCATCTGGTTTCACAGACAAGGTGTCTTGAGAGTATTTACTTAACATTCCTGAAGAGAAGCAGCTCTCAGAGGTTTACACATAAAAAAAATTTCTCATACAAGCACATAGTGAGTACATTGAACTATTTATTTAACTCATTGATAACGGAAGCAGAAAGATGATAAAGTCAGTTGGAAGGAGAATGCAGGGAACAGATGTATGTATAGTCAATGAAAGAAAAAAAAAGCTGGAATAAGCCTGTCAAATTAGATGCAAATTGTTTGTGTCCTACAGAGCAGTGGTACCACAAACTTTGATGTTCTCTTCTCCACTAAGTGTCTGCATTCTAACTGGACAAAAATCATTGTCGTGATGATCTGAATAATATATTTGCCTCTTATCGGTTTTCTACAGGTTGTCATCTACCTTGGTAGAATTGTAAAAATATCTGAATTGATGGTAAATGGTAAAACAAGTCCACTTCATCCAGATGACCCTGAGGGGGGCCTGCCAGAGAAAGCATCACAGGGAGGATGTTTGATCCTTTTTGTGTCTAACTTCCAGGGTGTGGACAGTTGTTTTTTAAGGACATTGCTTCTAAGTGCAAATATCAGACTTTAGATTAGAAACTTAAAATAAACATGCTTAATTAGTGACCTCATTAGTGACTCTCCCTCTTAAAAAAATAAAACCTGGGGGCTGGCCCCGTGGCCGAGCGGTTAAGTTCGTGCGCTCCGCTGCAGGCGGCCCAGTGTTTCGTTGGTTCGAATCCTGGGCGCGGACATGACACTGCTCGTCAGGCCACGCTGAGGCAGCATCCCACATGCCACAACTAGAAGGACCCACAACAAAGAATATACAACTATATACCGGGGGGCTTTGGGGAGAAAAAGGAAAAAATAAAATCTATAAAAAAAATAAAAATAAAAAAAAAATAAAACCTGAACTCACCCTAGGATGGAATTTGGATTCCATGAACTGATGGCTCTTCTGTGGCCCTCTCCATGTGCCCAGAGCGATGCCCGGTCCTAGGAGAGAAGACACTCATGTGAGGGATTCCCTAAGGCTCAGCTCAGCGCCGTGGAAGGAGCCTGCCCTTTGGAGCTTGAGAGAGGCAGTTTCACATTCGGGCTCTAGCACTTTCCACAACACAGAAAAGTCTGAAAATGTCTCTCTGGGTCCAATATTTGTTGTAAAATGAAGATGATGATACTTACCTTGGAAGTTAAAAAGGAGATTAAATTAGGTAATATGTGAAAAGTTGCCCAGCATAGTGTCTGAAACACAGTGGGTACTAAAACAAATTTGACCTCTTTCTGAAATTCACAAGTACACAAATATAAATAAATCATTACTGTCATTATTTATAATGGCTAAATTTGTGAACAACCTAAAAGGTCAGTAATAGGGGACTGGTCAAATAGATGACGTACATTCATATAATGGAATGCAATGGCAGCTATTGACAATCCCAACAGTCATTGACTTGGAAAATATTCACAACTTGTTAAGTTAAAAGAGAAAAATCTGTGACTCCTCCAATCACGTTTTTGAAAGGAGAAGAAGGAAAAGCTCAATTGTGGATTCCCTTCATCCTTCTTTCCTGTCTGGTCCCTACCCTTTCACTACCTCGCCTTCCCATACAGCTCCGGCTGACAGCATCTCTGATTCCAGGTGAGAAGCCTGGGGCTGGCATCTTCTCCAGCATCTCAAGCATCTTCTCCATTCTGAGCAGCAGGGCAGTGGTAAAACAGGAGCGCCTGCAGGACGTGGTGGGAAGCTGCCGCTATTGGGTCAACAACTACTTGGACCACAAATATAGGCCATGGCCTGTGAACCAGATCATCAGTTCTGCAAAGGAGAAGATTGGCGAGGAGACGGAATACAGTGTTCTGGGCAAGAACTGTGAGCACTTTGTCACCCTTCAGCGATATGGCAGGGTCTGCAGCAGGCAGGCAAGGCCCTCTTTGGGCTGATCCCTGTGCTTCCTGGAGGTCTGCTTGGGGTGGGAGTGAGCGGGCAGTACAGCCAGAGGGGAGAATCACTGTGAAGGATGCAAAATGGGCTCTCAGGGACCCGCTGGCTGGGAGCAAGGATGTCTGAGCTCAAATCTGGGATCTGCTTCTAAGCCAGAGTGTTTCTGGACAGCTTACTTCCTCTCTGGGCCTCAGTTTCCGCAAGTGCAGAAGGAAGAGTTAGTTGGAGGGTCTCTGGAGTCCTGGCCACCTCTGACCTTCTGGGACCCTTCAGCTCTAAGGTCCACCCTGACAGGCAGCTACTGAAGCCCCCAGAGTTGTCTGGGCCAACCCAGGACCACGGCGGGTCTCCTAAGTCCCCCAAAAGCACTCAGGCAATGGATACTCAAGGTCAGGGGGCCTATGTAAGAGCTCAGGAACATTTTTATGTCAGATCTGGAGCACAGCTTCTACTCTCGACACTTTCATAGTCTTCCAGATTCATTATCCCAAAACACATAGCTAATAAGTGGCAGCAGCAGGATTCAAACCCCAGCCGTCCCTGTCTAGAGTCTTTGTTCGTTCCTGCCACACTACAGCACCTCCAGGGCTCCTGGCCCAAGTGGTTGGGTAGATGGGCGACCCTGCAAGAGATGAGCATGAGGGCGGGAGGAGCAGGTTTAGGGGGAGAAATCAAGAGTTTGGACACAGTAATGGGATGTTTGAGGAGGCCAGAGCAAATAATTCATAATCAATGTATAAAACAAAGCTGGGGTGAGTTTATGACATGAGCCAGTTTGGAGGATGATGACCTGGGAGAAAGCAACCTTCACCAAGGAAGGAAGCACTCCGAAGCAATGGGGTGTACAGAGTGGTTATATGCCATCTTGGGACAAGGAACATACATCAAATATGACAGGAAGATGCCTTTTACTACCAGCACAAGATGCTTTGCTGGCACAGCAGGTCAGTGGTCAGCAGGTCTGGGGTCATGAGATGAGCATGACAGGTCAGTAACTAATCCTTAGTTTCTGGGAAGAAATGCTTATCTATAAAGAAATGTTGATATGGAGGAGGCAACATTGCTATCTTTAAGGGCATCATTCTTGGCTTGGGGACATTATAACTGTTTAAAGCAGGTGTACAATGCATGCTTGACTGTCCATGTCAGCCCTTTCTGGAAAAACAAGGTCAGGACTGACTAGTTTTACACTGAATGGCTTCCTCATAGACTCCAGCATATCTTATTGCTCATCATTTATTTATCCCCAGTTAGACATCTAGGTGCAGATAGTGTAGCAGTTGGACACTTGAGTCTGGAGTTCAGGGCTGAGGTGGGGCTGGAGATGGAAGTTTCCAGGCTGCACTTGTGGACAGTACAGAGTGCACAGTGAACTAAAGTGCCACGGCTTCCCGAAACCTCCCCTCAGCTTCCCCCACAGCCCCTCCCTCGCAGGGGAGTAGCCCAGGCAGAACCCAGACCACAAACAAGTCCCCAGTCTCACCCCCGGAGCAGTGGCTCCAGAAAACCAAGAACAAAGCCTGCTCCCTACCCATCCCAAGTCAGGGACGAATGTCCTCACCCAGAAGCTAACACAAAAGGAGTCCATCAGCCCATCCTGCAGGCTGTCAGAACAAGCCCAGACAAGCCCACCACTAAGTGGTCACGACTTCCCGTTGCCCAGGAAATGGGGCCTCTGGGACACAGCCGGCTCCCTCCCTGGGAGAGGACTCCGGGCTGGCCAGCTCAGACGGAAGCTGAGAGGCCAGGCCCCAGGGAGGACGGGAGAATGAGCGTGGATTCCAGGCCCTGGGGAGGGAGGGAGAAGTGCCTGGACTTGCTGTGGACTCTGAACACGGGCTGCTCACTTCCAGGTGGAACAGGTGGTGATTGGAGGAGAGGTGACCCTGGGACTGGGAATCCTGGGTGTCATTGGATATTCTCTTTTGAAGAAACGATATCAAAACCAATGACAGCCTGAAGGAGCCACAGAATCCTGCATTAGAAGCCGCTGTGGAGGCCAGAGGAGAGGGCCTCCCACAGCAACTCTGTCTGCCTGACCCTCACACTTGGGCAGCATGTAGTTCCCTCCCTCGCTTTTCCTCTCTCACTGGCTGGAGGATGGGCTAATTGTACCAAGACTGAAGAATTGATACATGTATCTATCTGTCCCTTCAGAAAGGACTTTCACTGTGTTTTTGTAGACTTCTGACCCAGAAAGGAAGAGCGTAACATTGACTCAGCGCCTGTTGGTACTTCCAGCAATGTCTAGCTGTGTGACCTTGAGGGGAGCTCTTGACTCTCAGAGCCTCAGTTCTTCCTTCTTTGAGATGTGGGTCATGATCCACTTCATGGTGACATTGTGAGGATCAAATAAGATGATGTGTAGCAGACCCCTGCACGATGTCTGGTACCTGGCAGGTACTCAGTGGATTGTCTATATCATTCCGTGCACACTGACCATTGTTGTAACTATAAAGCTTTCATTTTACTCTCGGGGTGAAAAAAGCTTAATTATGTCCCGGTTTGTCACAACACGTGGTGCTCGAATCCCCTGACAACACATAAACATCTCCCAGCACGTTTCCACTGACCTCCTTCCCTCAGCCCTGTTTTTAGATAGTGTTTTTCTTTTTTAGCTCGAATGTCTAATCCTTACCCAGCTGTGACTACCAGATGCAATTATGTAGCTTTCCATGAGCAGATGGCCACGGCTCAAGCTGCCCCTGGGTTGAATGCTGAAAATTAGCCCCCTCGGTCTTTCGGGCTGTGAATACTCTGTATTATGCAAAGTGGGGGCTACATGTCATCATACATCTGTCCCAACCCACAGAAGGTACAGCACCCAGAGTGAACCCTAAGGTCAACTATGGCCTTTGGGTGACTATGCTGAGTCATTATTAGTTCACCATTTGTAACAAAAATGCATCCTCTGCTGTAGGATGTTGATCATGGGGGAGGTGATGCATGTAGGGGGGCAGGAGGCCTATGGGAAATCTCTGTAACTTTCTTTCAATTTTGCTAAGAATATAAAACTGCTCTAAACAATAAAGTCTTTCCAAAAAAAATTGGCCACCTCAAAATGTCCCTCTGCTACTTCCCAGCATGCCCCGGGTGTGGTCTCAGAAGTGTTGGGTCCACATATTCTTGTGCGTCTTCACCCAGCCTTTGCCACCAGTGACCCTACTGAATGGCCACTCCCTCTGGGCATCCTCCCCCGTGGTCACCACAGCCCCTACCACTCTGCCTTGAGGATTACAGATTCACCCTCCCCTGAGCGGTACCTTCCCAAGCATGCAGTGCTGGTGGGCCCCTTAATGCCCCCAGCACAGTAGAGACGAGGCTGGAACTATTCACAAGACTCCCCTGGAGGTTCAGGGCTTTCAGAAGGTTGAAGAACAAAGAGAGTAACTTGAAATTGCTTCTACCAAAGGGGACCTTGCTCAAATCCCCAGGTTGAAATGTCTGCCTCCATATTGAAGTTCCAGAAGGTCCATGCCTGCCTTGCCCCAGGGCTACCTTTGGTCAGAGGGCCCCGCTGCTCTGTGCAGAGTCCAGGCCCAGTAAGCAGAAAGCTGAGAGAGAGCCTTTCTCCCTTCCTGCTGTCTAAGGCTCGCCTCCTGGGCCTCATGACCTGTCCAGGATCAATTGCTCCAGCGCGATAGACAGGGGAAGTGTCCAGGCCCTCCCAGGGGGAGCTTGGCCTATGCTACCAGGTCACATCCCCCTTATGATTCTCGGGTGTCCACGTACCTGCCCTTCATGGCAATTCTCACAGCTGCCATTGAACACTGACCATGTGGTTCTTTAAAAATCTCCCTCTCCCCATTAGACCTGCAGGGACCCCAAGAGCTGGCACTGTTGGAATTTGTTACACTGGGACCCCATTATTCACAATGCCTGGCTTACCATAGTGCTCAATAAAAAGTTGTTTACTTAATTAACAATTTCATTATCTAATACATAGAAAATACAACTCTCTGTGATTGGGAGAAAAACTTGCATATGAAAAAAAAGTTGTGACCTTCCCTGTGAATGTGAATACCCGCCAGAAGTGTGCTGCTGTGAAGTTTACAAATACACGGGGCCAGTTGCAGGCCCCTGCTGTCTGCACTGACTTCTGTGAACAGGATTTCTCTAAAATGTGAAAAATATATATAATTAATAAAAGCATACTTTACTTTCTTGTGATAAGCTCAGAAAATGGTTGCGCTACAACTGGACATCCCTTGGTGTCAGCAAAACCTTTTTTTTAGGACTGTAAATTGCTTTAGAGAACATGCATATATTCCACAGACTGTATTTCAGCTCAAAAAAGTTTAAGAAAACTGTGACTGGTGCTGGAGAAGCAAGAATCCTGAGGCCTGTATAGTATGACTCTGATTCCTCTTTCAACATCATTCTGTTACTTTTCTAGGACAGCATCTCGGTCCCCATCTTGGAGCTGTAGGACAGCTGGCAGGACACAGGGAAGTCCCCAATGCTGCCCTCATGAATGGCTAGGCATTTTCCTCTGTGTGCATCCAGCAGAATCACCATCTTCTGAAGATGGTTGGGATCTGGGACCACAGGGACATGAACGATACAAATGAGCTCTCAGGCTGCCAGCTGACTGGAGACCCCATGGAGATGTCCTCCAGGGGAGCGCCCTTGTGCTGCCCTGGGTGGGGGTCAGGTGCTTGGGGAGCCATCTACCAGGGTGACAGCAGTGCTGAGAGCAGTTGTACCCCTCAGCAGTCCCTCCTGAGGCAGAGAAAGGGCCAGTGTCCAAGCTCCTTGTGGCCGAGTCACCTGGAGACCTGCCACAGTCAGCACCGGCCACTCCCATCAGTCTCTCTGCAGGTTTTGGGGGGACGGCCTCCTAACCCCAGTCTGTTTCTATCTGCCCACCTGGTGCCTGAAATTTGCCGTATTGAATTCAGGTTTTAACATTTGCCTTCCCAGACAACATTTGCATTCAATCGCTTCTTAAGGTACTGGAATTTTAGTAAAAATGAGTCCTATCATGGCTTTTAGATCACTGGTAGGACATGGAAGAAATGGGACTTTGGACGGGTAAGTCTTGGTGTGTGTTTGTGTGTGAGGGTGTGTGTGGTGGGGAGGTGGGTGTGACTGTGGTGGGTTGGTTCTTTGAAATAAGTGGTCAGGGTGGGAATGGGGGAAACTTCAGGGGTCAGGAAAGAGGAATGTTGAAGTGGGAGGTGGGGAACATGAAGACGTAGCCCTCCCCAGTTTTCCTGGGAGCCCCCTCCATCCTACACAGCAGGAGCGTCAGTCCTTCTCTGGGAGCTTCATGGTGATCAGGGAGGCAGAGGGCTCCATGCACGCCTCGGGGAGGGGCTGGATGGGATTGGAGGTGGAAGATCCCCTCTGCCTTTCTTCCATGCCCACCCCTCAAGGCAGATGTTGGCACCATCAGACTGCTCTCTACACCCTCCCTGTCTGCTTTGCTTTCTGTGGGCAGCCCTAGTCGGCCTCTTTCCTTTAGACTTTTCCAGAAAGGAGTCATGCTCAGTCCCTAGGCACATTCTCCTGCTGCCTCAGAAACAAGAGGGATAGAGGCTGGGTTCCCCCAAAGACTCCCAGGTATGGCCAGCTTCTACTCAGGAAACCATACCCAGGACAGCAGGCTGGCACTGTGTCTGAAAGAGGCAGTTACCACAATCTCTGTATCTCTGATCACTGGATGTTTTTCAGATTAGCACACTGAATGTTGAAGATAGTTTGTCCTTGGAAAAATTAAGGACTTGATGACCAGCATAACCAGGGCTAGAAATGATCTCTTGTTGGTGAAGTGGGTGCTGTTCACGGGAGGCTAAAATATCTTAGACCCTCCCCACCCGTATAGGAGCAGAGTGTGAGAGAGAAGCCTGCAGAATGTTCTTTAGGGGCGGCACCTGAAGCTTGATCCCTAAATGTGCCGGTGCCCACCCTCTGGTCTGCATTTCTGGTTACCTGAGGCTGACTGTTCCTGCAACAGAATCCTGCTCTGAGTGAACCTTTCATGCAAGATTTAGTCACAGCACCTAAAAGCTGGATTGTCTAGTATTTCTATTTTTAGTTTTTTGAGGACTCTCCATACTGTTTTCCACAGTGGCTGCACCAGTTTGCGTTCCCACCAGCAGTGTATGAGCGTTCCCTTTTCTCCATAATCTCTCCAACATTTGTTATTTCTTGTCTTGGTAATTATAGCCATCCTAAAGGTTGTGAGGTGATACCTCACAGCAGTTTTTGGTTTGTATTTCCCTGACAATTAGTGATGTTGGATATGTTTTTGTGTGCATGTTGGCCATCTGAATATGTTCTCTGGAAAAATGTCTATTCATATGCAGAGCATATTTTGATTGGGTTATTTTTTCATTGTTGAGTTGTACGAATTCTTTATATATTTTGGAAATTAACTCCTCATCAGATATATGATTTGCAAATATTTTCTCCCAGTTGGTGGGCTGTCTTTCATTGATGGTTTTCTTTGCTTTACAGAAGCTTTTTAATCTGATATAGTCCCATTTGTTTACTTTTTCTTTCGTTTCCCTTGCCTGAGTAGATGTGATATTCGAAAAGATACGGCTAAGACTGATGTCAAAGAGTGTACTCCCTAGATTTTCTTCTAGGAGTTTTAGGCTTTCAAGCCTAACTCAACTCTTTAATCTATTTTAGCTAATTTTTGTGTGTGATGTAAGATAATGGTCTACTTTTGTTCTTTGCCATGTAGCTGTCCAGTTTTCCCAACACCATTTATTGAAGAGACTTTCCTTTCTTGTTTCATATTCTTGGCTCCTTTGTCAAAGATTAGCTGTCCATAGATGTGTGATTTTATTTGTGGTCTCTCAATTCTGTTCCATCGATCTGTATGTCTGTTCTTGTGCCAGTACCATGCTGTTTTGGTCACTATAGCTTTGTAGTATAATTTGAATTCAGGGATTGTGATGCCTCCAGCTTTGTTCTTTTTTCGTTAGGATTGTTTTGGCTCTTCGGGGTCTTTTGTTGTTCCATATGAATTTTAGGATTCTTTGTTCTATTTCTATGAAGAATGCTGATGGGATTCTGACTGAGATTGCATCGAATTTGTAGATGGCTTTAGGTAATATGATCATTTTAACTGTGCTTATTCTTCCAAATCACGAGCATGGAATATCTCTCCATTTCTTTATGACTTCTTCCATTTCTTTCATTAATGTCTATAGTTTCCAATGTATAGGTCTTTCACCTCCTCAGTTTATTCCTAAGCATTTTATTCTTTTTGTTGTGATTGTAAATAGGAGTATGTTCTTGAATTCTCTTTTTGCTAGTTCGTTATTAGTGTATAGAAATGCCACTGATTATTGTATGTTGATTTTGTATCTTGTTTACTTTACTCTATTTGTTGATTATGTCTAATAGTTTTTTGGTGGATTCTTTAGGGTTTTCTATATATAGAATCATATCATCCACAAATAATGAGAGTTACACTTCTACCTTTCCAATTTGGATCCCTTTTATTTCTTTTTCTTCCTATAGTAATATATATTTTAAAGTAGGTATGATTTGATTTGAGTGCTTACTATATCCCAGGTGCTGTTCTAAGTCTCTTACTCCTGTTAACTCATTTAATTCTCACAGCAACCCCACAAGGTAGGTACAGTACTGTTGTTATCCCCATATTACAGATGAGGAAACTGAGGCACAGAAACAGTAAGTGACTTGCTCCAGGTCAAAGGACTGGAAAGTAGCAGAGCCAGGTTGAACGCAGGCAGACTTGCTCTAACATTTAGACTATTTGCAAAATACTTAAGACAATACCTGGCACAAAGTTAGCACTCAACAGATGTTAGCTAGTACTATTATCATAATTATCGCTATTTTGAGGAGTGGAAACTGAGGCTCAGGCAAGGTAATTTGCTCCCCAGTGGTCCTCCAGCCAGAAGTGATAACATGGGGATTCATCCTAAGACTCCATCAGCGGTTGCCACCCCTCTGAGCGGTTAGGTGTCCAAGCGCTTGCCTGTTTCTGCGAGGGAATCTGCCAAATCTTCCAGCCCTTGTCCCACCTCCATCCTTCCGTCAGGGCCCAGCAGCCACAGCCCAGTGGAGTCCGGGAGACATGGCCTGGCGGCTATGGAAGCTGAGTCCCTTCTCGGCCCTTCCACAGTTTCACACTGAGCCTGTGGGACAAGGCCGCCCATGTTCCTGTGACACTCAGGGCTTCCTTCGCAGACAGGACTTTGGCCTGGATCTCGCCCTGGGGACGGAGGAGCTCATCTCGGCCCCCTTCCTCTTCTACCCCCAGCGATTCTTCGAGGTCGGTCAGAACCAAGTGGCCTCGTCCCTTCGCCCCTCAGGGGTGGAGTGCAAAGCAGCATTCCTATCCAGGATACTGGGAGTCACTGGGGAGGTGGGGGAGCCAGAACCCACTGGGGGAGAGAACACCCATGCCATGGCTCTCAACCCTCCATGGTGGCACCAGGGAGTCCACACCCAGAAACCCAGATTTAATTAATCAGGTGGCCCTGGCAACAGCATTATTAAAAAGCTCTCTGATGACTCCAACGTGCAGCCAGGGTTGAGAATCACTCCTCCAGGGGAAGCAACCCCTGTCACAGATGGTGAAACTGAGGCCCAGGGCTGGGAAGATCCTTGTGAAAGGTCCCAGTGGGCTGGTGACAAGCTGGGCCTCTAGTCCTGCTCTTTTGCACCACATGGGTCCAGTCCTTGTGTCCTCTGAGGGAAGGAGGGGCTCGCTGGGTGGGGCATCAGGCAGGTGATAGAGGGTCTATCTGGAAGCCTGCAGCGCGTCATGGCCTCGTTTTCCAGGTGCTGCTCCTGTGCCAGGAGGGAGGGCTGAAGCTGGCGCTCAAGGGACAGGGCATAGGGACCACCAGCCTGGACCAGCTAACCCTGGAGCGGCTGCGGGAGCTCCGGATCAGTGGCAGCGTGCAGCTCTACTGTGTCCACCATTGAGGAGGGATCCAGAGGGCCTGACCAGGGAAGAAGAAGGCCAGCCTATGCCTGGAGCTACACAGTATGGCCTGCCTCTCCTCCTCTCATTAGACTGTCCACCTGTCACCACCATGTCACGCCTGGCTCGCTTCTGGGGCCATGAGCCTGTGTCTGCAGGGGCTTTGGGCCCCACAGCAGAAGGGAGGCACCAGAATGTGAAGGCTCCTCAAACCCTGCCCCTCCCTCCACCAGGAGCCTGAGATGTGTCTCATGTCCCTTCAGGACCTGGAGCAGGAGGCTGGTTTTGTAGTCCAACAAAGACACTCAAAATACAGTGGCCTAAAGAATTTAGACATTTATTTCACTCTCATCTAACAGTTTGGGAGAAAATGGTCCAGGTCTGTGAGGCAGCTCTGCTCCCCATGGACATTCAGGGTCATCCTGGTCATCGTCCCGCCACTCCCAGAGCATCAGCATCATCTCCCAGGCTGATGCTCAGTGGCAGCCATGTCTAGGTTTCAGCCACTGGAATGCAAACAGGGAATGTGGACAAGGCCCCTGATTTCCTAAGCCTGGGCCTGGGATTGACACACACTGTTTACACTCGCTCTCAGGGGTGAGCACGCAGTCGCACAGCCACACTGTGTGCAAGGGACGCTGGCAATGTTCCCTGGGGGGAGGGCGGGTGCCCAGTCACAGTTGTATTACTGCGATTCCTGGTATCTTTAGGTTTATTTACACCGTCTTATTGTGTATTTTCTATTTACCATGCTATTTTTTCAGCTTATATTTTCAGCTTTCTTGCTTGCTGTTGGATTGATGAGATCTCTTTATCATCCTCGGTTTTTTTTTTTTAGACTGATTTGTAAGTTATAGATAGGGTTTTACACCTCTGGTGGTTATCCTTACTGTATATTTTGTTTTTTTATTAACACAATAAAATTGACCTTTTGGAGTGGGTAAAATTCTACTTTTAACATATATGTAGATTTGTGTAACCACCACCACTATCAGGATGTGTAAGAACTCCTTCACCCCAAAAACGCCCTTAGTCATCCCTTGTTGTCACACCTCCTCCACCCCCTCCCTGAGCCCAGGTGACCCACCAATCTCTTCTCCATTACTCCAGTTCTGTCTGTTTGGGAATGGTGTGTAAATGACGTCATATAGAACGTGGCCTTCTGAAACTGGTTTCTTTCACTCAGCATTATTCTTTTGAGATTCATCTAAGTTGCTGTGTGTATCAGTGACCCGTTCCTGTTTATTAATCAATGGTGTTCCATTGTCCCACAATTTGTTTATGTATTGACCCACTGAAGAACATTCAGTGTGTTCCCAGTTTCTGCCAATTATGAATAGAGCTATTAAAAACATTTATGTACAAGTCTCTGTATGAACATAGCTTTCCATTTCTCTAGGTTTAATACCTACCAGTAGGATCAATGGACAAGACAAACCTGAATTATACTGCTACAACATAAAGGAAGTGTTATAGGTTGAATTGTGCCCCCCATTCATATATTGAAGTCCTAACCCCCAGTACCTCAGAATATGACTGTATTTGGAGACAGGGTCCCTAAGAGGTAATTAAGTTAAAATGAGGTCACATGGATGGGTCCTAATCCAACTGGTGTCCTTAAAAGAAGAAGAGATTAGGACACAGACACACACAGAGGACCAATCTTGTGAAGACATAGGGAGAAGGCAGTCGTCTACAAGCCAAGGAGAGAGGCCTCAGAACAACCCATCCCTCTAGAATTTCTAGCCTCTAGAATCATGACCAAATAAAATTCTTTTGGTTAAGCCACCTTGTCTGCGGTATTTGTTACAGAAGCCATAGCAATACACTCTACCTTCAAAATGTGTCAAGAATCGAATCATTTCTTGTTGCCTGGAAGACTGCAAACTGCTTTTCCCGCCTCGACCCTTGACCCCGCAGACTATTCTCAACACGGGAACCGGTGAGTCTACAAAAACTACATAAGTCAGATCATGTCACTGCTGTGCTCCAACCCTCCAGTGGCTCCCACTTAATTCAGAGTAAAAATCAACACCATTACAATGGCCTGTAGCCCCATGTACATCAGGTTCTTGTCAGCTCTCGGCTGTCATCTCCTGTGACCCACTCCCCGGCTCCAGATACCCTGGCAGACACGTGCAGCCTCAGGGCCATGACAATAGCTGCTTCCCTGCCCAGGACACCTTTCTACATATTTGCCAAGGGTTCATTCCCTGCCTCCTTGAGTTCATTACCCAAAAGTCACCTACTCAGTGAGGCCATCTCCAAACACACTATCTGAACCTGCACCTCCCCACCACCCGCATCCCCATTCCCTTCTCCATTTTTCACAGCTTTGACCATCTCATATAGTGTCCATCTCACTATATTTTTGTCGGTCTCCTGGACAAGAAGATAAGATCCACAATGGCACCTATTCTTATCAGCCTTCTTCACAGGTGCATCCCCAAGTGCCTACAACAGTGCTTGGCATGCAGTAGGCACTCAGTCGATACCCGGTGAATAAAGGTCCAAGGTGAGGCTCCACCAAGTGCTGGGTATGGCATCAGGTGGTCATCTCAGAGTTAGACCCCCTGACAACCCCCGGCACTTGCTCACCTGGGGAACAGTGCAACCTCGATGACTGGCACTACCTCTTCCCTCAATGCCTTGTCCTCCTGGCCCTTCTGGTTGACATGGGAGGTTATGTTTGCATCTGTTACTGGCTACCATGAGGGATGACCCTAGAAATATCTGTGAGACAAATGTGAATGAATGGTAATCAGTCTTTGGCTGGCGAACATGATGCATTCTACACGGAAATTGAAATATAATGATGCACATCTGAAATTTGTGTGTTGTAAACCAATGTTACCTCAATCCAAAAAAAAGATGTGGAATAAATCCCAGAGCTAGCTGAACATTTTTCAGGGATGAACAATGCCCCAAACTGCTCAAGAGCTGAGCCAACCTGACAGCAGAGCCGCTGAGGAGGAAAGAAGGCTGGAAGGTGAGGCAAGAGTCACATCCCAGATGTGGAAGCAGGAGAGGAGCAGCTGAGGGGAGAGGCACAGAGCTCAGCGGCAGAATCCTCCTGACGGCTTCTACCCTGAAGACGGACCTCGGTAACTGAAGCCCAGTGACAGAGGTGGCTCCAGCTGGGCCAGCAATGACCCGAATCACCACCTTCTGGAGCTCCAGGTCCACAGACTTACTGCCTCTCTGCTGACAAAGATGAAGCCCCCACTTGAAAGAGGAGACAACTGAGACCAAGAGAGGTCAGTTGACGACCCAACGTGACACTACTTGAAAGAGACAAGGCCTGGCTGCTTTTTTTTTCTTTTTCCGTTTTGAACATGACTTTAATGCAAGGAGGTGAACAGTCAGTGAATCTTTTACTTCTTTTACAAATAAAGCTCTTTTGGAAACAGAACGGGCAGTGCCAGGCCTGGGGACAAGATTAGAGGAGCCAAGGGACTTTGGACCACTGTGTCTGGAGCTCTGTCTGGTCAAAGGAACCTGGGGCGGGGGCTGATGCTGGGAGAGGCTGTGCCCTTCCTGAGTGCCCTGGGCGCAAGCTCTTTCTGATGGAGGCTCTGCCGACATCCACAAGCCTGCTGCGTACTCTTCCAGTCTCCAATGAGTCAATCACCCCCACTTTCATGCCAGATCCTATAGAGAACCAGTCTGATTGTTCGAGAACTGGTTTCAGCCTCTTTGTCGCCTTATAATAAAGCTGTTAGTGATGGTGGATGGAAGTAGGTGAGTGCATCTTATGTGCTGGTTGCCTCGTCAATAGCCACCCCCCGCCCCCCCCCATATCCACACCAGTGTCGCTCACCTCCTACCAGGCTATAAAGCCCTGCTGTTCACAGGGCAGCAGTAGTCTCTCCACAGATCTGGCCGATGCATTGGACAGTGAAAGGTGGGAGCAAGACAGCCAGGGGACTATGCAAAAGATGTGACTCCCTGAGAAAAAGGGACAACTGATGAGAAACATCTCCCTCTACTGCTTTTGGACATTGCCAGGTGAAAATGTGCCACTTGAGGCTGCTGCAGCCATAGTGGACCATGCAGAGTGTCACTGCAGACACAGGTCCTGTGTGAGGGAAAAGCCTGGGTCCCCAGCGGCCTTTGAGCTGCTGAACTGAACCTGAGTCACCCGCTTCCTGACTTCCTGTAACAGAGACAGTGAACACTCTGGCTGCTGAAACCCCTCTTCTGCTTCTTGCAGCCACGTGCATCCTGTGGGGAAAATGAGCTCCTGGGCCCCACATGATCCAAGGTGCCCACCATCTGAAGGCTTTCCCCATGGAACACAGTACCCATCTGGCCTGCCTCTTGGCTCCTGACCCAATATTTTCTGGAGTAGTGCATTAAGGGTTGACACCTCTGTGCCTCTAAATGCCACCCCTCCGTGCAACAGGAACATTTGCCCAGGGCTTCTGTTGGAAGACACCTGGGGTCTCTCAAGCAGGGGCAGATTATCAGGCTCCCCTCCTGCTCTGACGGTTTCCAGTGGCTTAAAGGCACCAGTGATTCCACGTTTGGAGGTACGTAGTCATTGGCCTTTCCATCTAGAGCAAATGTTTAGTCTCTTTCTAAAAAAAGTTTAGTATTGAGTAGTTTTTAAAGAGTGTCAGAAGGAAAGTGAAAGTGAAATTCCCAACTTTGGTATGAAGCTGGTCCATGAGCAGCAGAACCCCCGGACACCATGGCTCAGGTCAGTCCCTGGGACATTTCCATCAGTGGCTGTACAGCGGAGGGGCCACTCTGCTCCTACAGAGAGCTCAGTCTGGGTTGCTGACCTTGAACACAATTAACTCTAGAGCTTGAAAGGCTTTGGAAGGCTTTCACAGAAAACTGTATTTGTGATTTAAAAGTCCCTTTTCCTGGGGCTGGCCCCGTGGCCGAGTGGTTAAGTTCGCGCGCTCCGCTGCAGGCGGCCCAGTGTTTCGTTAGTTCGAATCCTGGGCGTGGACATGGCACTGCTCATCAGACCACGCTGAGGCAGCGTCCCACATGCCACAACTAGAAGAACCCACAACGAAGAATACACAACTATGTACCGGGGGGCTTTGGGGAGAAAAAGGAAAAAAAAATAAAATCTTTAAAAGTCCCTTTTCCTACAGGGCTGTGAGCTCTTCAGGCAGAGTGAGCCTCCTCTCTGTATCTGGCACACTATGGGGAAGGGGGGCGCAGGGACCCCAGTGTAGGAGGAACTGTGGGGGTCTTGGAGCTGTGGCTGGCTGAGCTGAGAAAGAAGCTGGAGTGTGGGCCATGGCAGGACCCAGAACTGGGATGCGAGTGAACCCCCACCTTGTCTGCTCAGCTGCAAGCTGGAGTCTGGGGTCTTGTGAGCTCCAGTCCTGTCTCTCTCTTTCCCCCACGGCATTTGTCCTCCCTTACTAAGTGCATTCGAACTTCAGCATTCTGACTCTTAAACCTCCCCTCTTATCAGCCCTGATCTCCAGGTTAATGCAAGTTCCAGGGAGGGGCAGACAGAGTTCAGCGGTGTGCAGCTGAAAAGAAACCCAGCTGACTTGGACTATTGCTGGAAACGGGGCAATTGTGGCAAGACACACTGCACATTCCAGAGGGCAGTCTACCCTGTGTGTCACCTGGTTCTGAGAAGGGGTTTCTTGCTGCCAAAATGAATCAGGGCTCTGTTGCCTGGAGAACCTGTCTCCTTATCCAGGCAGGGACCAAGGTCATAGTTCATCTGCCACCAGCTGTTGGGACAGAGTCCAGGCCTTGCCTTAGTTAGACAGTTTCAGAGTGAAAAAATCCCCTTGTGATTCCAAAGTGGAGACAGTCTCCGGGCCTGCCCTGTCCTGGCTATGATGGAGGAGGAGCTAGGCAGCAGTCTTGGGCCTACTGGTCCTCCAGCCCTCTTCCGTGTATATTTCTTTGTCCCCCTTTCCAAGCCAGGCCCTTTGCTGTATCCTGGAGATGCAGGGAGGGAAGGAGAAGAGCACACAGGATCCTGCTTGAATGAAGCTCAAAGCCCAGAGGGGTGCAGACAGGCACAGAGAATTGCAACACATGACCCATGCAGGGAGAGGCAAAGGTATTTGTGGCCTACGGACCAAGAGAGTGAAGTTGAGCTGAGGTGGGGCCTTCAGGGCAGTTTCTCAGAGAAGGAATGTCTGATGGAGAAAGAAAAGGAAGAGTGGGTATGAGGAAGATGGCTGGGGATAAAAATAACTCATGTGCAGAGCATCAGAGACAAGAGCAAGCTCTGTGATGAGAGAAAGGAAGTGGTTCAGTCAACCTGGGGGTCAGAGCACAGGGAAGACAAGGAGGGGTGTGGAAGGACCAGTCATAAAGGGCCTGTGAGCTGCCCAAAGGGCATGCCCTGTGCCCTAAGGCCAGAGGAAGGTCATGGCCAGAGATGTCCTTTGGGAAAGCCAAGTGGGTCTTGGGGAGACTGGATGTGGAGTGGCAGGGATAGGAAGAGTGGGGCTGGTTGGGAGGCCATGGGGGTCACAGAGGCAGGGACTGACTGCCCTGATCAAAGTCAGTGGGTGGGAGATGGGAGAGGAAGTAAAGTCAGGAGAAACTTCTAGAGTTAGCATTGACTGGACTTTGTGATTGGCTGCAGGTGGCAGTGGCTGGGGGGTAGGTGGGGCAGAGGGAAGGGATGAGGGAGGGAGTTGGAGGACCTAGGATGGCCTCTTTTGGGGCTGGGAAACCTAGAATGAGGGGTTGGAGCAGGGGATGTTATTCCCCAGATCAAGAACATAGAGAAAAGGGGGTCAGAAAAAGAATTAATTCTTGCAACCTGGGTGACCTGCAGTGGCCCATTGA